CTTTTTGGTCATTGGTGTATAGGAACCCATGCAGATAAACTGCGCATTCCTCATAATCCTCACTAAAGAAGTTGTGGAAACCCGCAGGAAAAAGAAACCATAATACACTTTCTCTGTGAATGCCCAGTTTTGACGTCAAGAAGATGTAGATTCTAAGAAAGATACTTCGTTGATAGTTTATCAGATTGTTCATCGGCGAAAGACCTATTAAATTATTTAAATTCGGCGGAATGGATTTAGTCTCTAATCATCTATACTAGGGTTCTTGCGAGGAATATGGTAGCAAAACGGCGAAAAATCGCTAATTGAGGTACATGAAAGTTATCTAATGGACCTGCCACTGCAACTAACTAACCAACCAACGATAACATAATGATATATATAGATATATATATATATATATGTCGGTTAAAAGTAATGAATAGATTACTTTTGAATCTGTCCGAATTTTATTCTTGCATAAAATCATTCGCTTCAAAAAATTTCATTTTAAATCAAATGTGCGAATTGAATAATTTATGCAACTTTTTAGTTGAAATTAACACAGATTGGTTCGTCCCATATTAAATTATAAAACATATTAAATTTATTCAACATATCTTTTTGGTTTAGTTCGGTTGTCGTTATTTTTTTGTTTAATGCGGCGAGGGTAACCACTTCAGCAAATCGTTGGAGAATTCAAAAGCAGTGCGGCGATGTGCAATCATTGTAACAGTGAAACAATACAAGACTTAAATGAAACAAAGGCCTTGAATCTTGATTCACTCGTAAATAAACCCTACGTGTAGTATTAAGTTAACTTTTTTTACAATTTTTATATAAATATTTTATGGTTTCATTAAGTTTATTATTTTACTCTCAATACTTTTTCACTTGATTTTATTGAAACAAGCTGGTGATATCGTATATTTTTATTATTAATACATACATACATACATACATGTGCGAAATAGTTATTATCAACAGTAAAAAGTTTCATTATCAGTAGTTTATTTCAATTGTAATTGTTTTTTTAATAATTATCAAAGGTTATCATTAAAGTTAATAATAAACTTTCCTTTTATATTATTTTTTATATAATACAATATAAATTTACTTAAATTTACTAATAAAAAATTAAATTACTTAAATTACAATTTTTAATTATTATTTATATATATTCTTCTCGTTAAAAACTTCTTTTTAGCTACAGATAATTAATAAAGATATACTTTAATATCAGTCGTATAATTGTAATGCGCTTTAAACTTTGTACGGATGATAGGCTAAATTTCTCCAGGTCTTACTGTGTAATTGTCCATTTAAACTTAACTCTCCTTACTAATTTATTGCAATGCATTTTAATTTATAGTCAATTTTGCAGTTGAGCAAAATAGATTGTGTTAGAGCGGTTAAAGTCAAATTGTTAATATTGTAGGATTCTGTAGAATTATTATAATTGATGTGTTATATGATTTATATATTATATTTTATTATATTTTAATTTATTTTAAATCATATATTGTATAATTAAATTATTATAATTAATATATTATATAATTCATATATAATATTTTATATGGTTAATATATATGGTTAATTAATTTATCTAACTAACCCTGTATAAGATGTAATCAAACCAACGGTTCTAAGTCTTGTTTTTATTGCCTTTTGTTTTTGCGCTCGAGATGAGCAATTTTTTTGTTATATTTTTTGGGCTGCAAGTAAACTCCGTTGGTTTGATGCTCTCTCTTGTTTTTCGATCGCGAACGTGTCAACACACGGGTACACATAAAAAAGTGATTAAACAATCAATAACCGAAATTGTATAAATTCAATTGTATAAATTAAATGAAATCAAAACCCAATTATAAAAACGTTTATAATTTACATTGTGTTAAAGAAATTGAAATAAAGATCATAAAACCCAATTATAAAAACGCTTATAATTTACATTGGCGACCGTGACAGGACTTTTTGCAATTTTAATAGTGGTTATTAATCTCCAATTTGTTAAAAAATCTAAATATTACCCACGTGTGGTAATCATTTTTTCTTATTAAGTTTGTAATCATTAGTGTACGCGTGTGTGCATTTCTTCCACACGGCTATTCTGTGGACTGTCGAACGTATATACTATTGTGCAATTGGTGGTTCTCGGTTTAGGTCCGCTAACCTCAAACCAGAACCTCGTGTCCGCATCAAGATCGCGCTCGACATTACAACAACAAGATACCTTTACTTGTTGATTGTACATACTTTCGCTGTTATTGTTTTTGGTTAATTTGTAACCATTAAAGTGCGCGTGTGAATATTTCTTCTAACCAGTTATATAGCTAACGCGTGCTAACCATTATAATATATCGTACATCTATATATATATTACCTATGTACTATCGTACGTATATACTCTTGTGCAATTGGTGGTTCTCGGTTTAGGTCCGCTAACCTCAAATCAGAACCTCGTGTCCGCATCAAGGTCGTGCTCGACATTTAAAATAACAACAACAAGATACCTTTACTTGTTGATTGTATATACTTTCGCTTTTATTGTTTTTGGTTAATTTGTAACCATAATGTGCGCGTGTGAATACTTTTTCTAACCAGCTATATAGCTAACGTGTGCTAACCATTATAATATATCGTACATCTATACATATATTACATATGTACTATCGTACGTATATACTCTTGTGCAATTGGTGGTTCTCGGTTTAGGTCCGCTAACCTCAAATCAGAATCTCGTGTCCGCATCAAGGTCGTGCTCGACAGTTAAAATAACAACAACAATCAAGAATACCTTTTACTTGCTCTTGATTGGTATAATTACGGCTTATTTATTCGATTTATGGTATGTTGGTAACCATTAAAGTGCGCGTGTGAATATTTCTTCTAACCAGTTATATAGCTAACGCGTGCTAACTATCATAATATATCATACATCTATATATATACTACCTATGTACTATCGTACGTATATACTCTTGTGCAATTGGTGGTTCTCGGTTTAGGTCCTCTAACCTCAAATCAGAACCTCGTGTCCGCATCAAGGTCGTGCTCGACATTTAAAATAACAACAACAAGATACCTTTACTTGTTGATTGTATATACTTTCGCTTTTATTGTTTTTGGTTAATTTGTAACCATTAATGTGCGCGTGTGAATACTTTTTCTAACCAGCTATATAGCTAACGTGTGCTAACCATTATAATATATCGTACATCTATATATATATTACATATGTACTATCGTACGTATATACTCTTGTGCAATTGGTGGTTCTCGGTTTAGGTCCGCTAACCTCAAATCAGAACCTCGTGTCCGCATCAAGGTCGTGCTCGACAGTTAAAATAACAACAACAAGCTATCTTTACTTGTTGATTGTACATACTTTCGCTTTTATTGTATTTGGTTAATTTGTAACCATAATGTGCTCGTGTGAGTATTGCTCCTAAACGGTTATATATCTAAAGTGTGCTAACTTTAATAATATCGTACATCTGTACATATATACTATATACTATCGTACGTGTGTACTATTGTGCATTCTATGGTTCTCGGCTTAGGTTCTGCTAAGCGCCAAATAGAACCTCGTGTCCGCATCAAGGTCACGCTGAACAATTACAACAACAACAACAAGTTAACTTACTTGTTGATTACTGGTTAATATTTGCTTCCAATCAGTAAGTGGGCGGATTCGTCAACGTCGCGTCTGACAACAACCACCGTAAGAGCAGTTCAATTTCGGAAAGTTCGCTGCTGCTATTGTGACTTTTCGACTTCGTCAAATCCCTTGCTGTTCTCAAGTATCTACAATTGTTTCAATGGCAACGGCAGAGCCAACCACTACGGCAGAACTGTCAGAACTAAAACAACAGCGAGCCTCGACGAAAGCGAGCATTTCAAGGATCAAGACGTTCGTCAAAGGAAAGAGTAATTCGCTCTCACAACCAGAACTGAAATGTCGACTAGGTATTTTAGAATCATATTTTAAACAAATCTTAGCTTTTCAGACGTTGATCGAGAAATTAGATGCAACTGACTCAGCTAGAGATGAATTAGAAGACCTATACGTTTCCACCAAAATATTAATCATGTCTCAACTGCAGGAAGAGGCCCACAATGCATCAGTGCTAGACGTAACAGCAATGATGCCCACCTCAAGTAAAAAATTACCACTGTTAAAATTACCTACATTCAGTGGTAAGTACTCGGATTATAACAATTTTATTAATTCGTTTCTCCAAATCATACATAGATCGCGAAATATACCTCACAAATATTGAAAAATTTAATCACTTGCTGAACTGCCTTACTGGTCAAGCTCTAGAGACAGTACAGGCATTTCCTATTTCGAATGAAAACTATCCAAAGGCTCTGGATAGGCTTAAATCGCGCTATGACAATAATAGCCTAATCTTCGCCGAAAATATCGCGACACTATTTGATCTACCAGCAGTATCGGGTCAGTCAAGCCAACAACTCCGTAGTCTGGTAAACAATGCATCCGCTTTGTATGGTTCACTCTGTTCGCTAGGTACAGAGAAACAAATATGTGAGGCTCTACTTATCTCGTTAATCATGCAAAAAACGGACGCAATTACACGTAGGAAATGGAATGAATCGCGTAACTTTGACACATTACCCAGTTGGGAAGATTGCTCAAAATTGTTGGATAGACATTGCCAGTTTCTCGAATCACTTGACAGTGGAAACGGCAATCAGTCATCATCACAACGTAAACCTAATAGTCTTAACTCCAAGACTAACAGACGCTCAAAACAATACGCATTTGTTGCATCTACATCTAGCAATTCTTGCTCATTTTGTTCTAGCAATGAACACCTAATACAGAATTGTCATCGTTTTAAGGCACTGGAGGTGGTTCAAAGGTTTGAAAAGGTGAAGAGCCTAAAACTCTGCATAAACTGCTTATCGCCACGCCATCATGTGGTTAATTGTACATCAACGTTTAAATGTAAGGTTTGCGCAAAGCCACATCACACTCTCTTGCATCATTCGCAATTGCCAACGAATATTAAGAGCGCGGGATCATCACGACGCACAGAACACGCTGCTATGCCCAACGACAACGTTGCCAGCCATTCCCATCTTAATATGTCATCGGCCGAGCAAATAATTCTTGCCACGGCATTGGTTTTAGTGAAGGATTCATCGGGAAGTTATCAAGTGGGTAGAGCCTTACTTGATTCATGCTCTCAGGTCAACTTCATAACGGAGGAGTTTTCAAAGAAGCTTAGTTTAGCAAAACATAAACATCGGTTGCATGTTTCCAGTATTGGTAGTTCGTTGACCAACATTAAGTATCAGACGCTCACATCAATCAAATCTCGTCATTCAAATTTTGAACTTGCTTTAAACTTTGGTATTACGAATCACATCGCATATCAACCAAGTTCTGAAATCGATATATCGTCGTGGAAGGTTCCACCAAATACACCTCTCGCCGATGAGCAATTCTTTAAATCCAAGCGCGTTGATCTTTTGCTTGGAGCTGAAAGTTTCTTTGATATTTTGTCTGTCGGTCAAATCAAACTAGGTGAAAATCTTCCAGTACTTCAAAAAACACTATTAGGATGGATTGTATCTGGCAAGTACAAGGGTCAGCCATTTGCATCACCAGCAGCAAAATGCCTATTATCAGTTGAAGATACAGTCTCCGATCAATTAGAAATGATGTGGAAGATAGAGGAAGTGCAATCGGCTTCAAAATCATGGTCACCAGCACATGTTGCGTGTGAGTCATTATATCGTGAAACGGTTCACCAAAATGCGATGGGAAGAATTGTCGTTCGGTTACCATTCAAAGATTCACCAGATTGTCTTGGTTTGACACACAATATCGCCTTGCGCCGTTTTTATTCTGTAGAACGGCGATTGTCATCTAATCGTGCACTGAAGCAAGACTATCAAGAATTCATGAAACAATATCGAGAGCTCGGACACATGACGCGTGTTGAGACTCCGAAACCCAACGAACCTCATTATTATATCCCTCATCATTGTGTTTTAAAACCGTCGAGCACTTCGACCAAGCTGAGGGTGGTTTTTGATGCGTCATGTCCAACAACTTCGCAACGTTCATTAAATGATATTCTACTGGTCGGCCCGACAATTCAGTCGGAGTTATATTTGTTGCTACTTCAATTTCGTTTGCACCGATATGCCTTGACGGCTGACATTGTTAAGATGTACCGACAGATACTGATAGATGAACCAGATCGAAAATTCCAATATATTTTTTGGCGAGATACGGAGTCCGATCCTGTTAGTACTTACGAGTTGAATACAGTCACTTATGGTACTGCATCAGCACCTTTCCTAGCAACCAGGAGTTTGCAGTATTTGGCGGACAAATTTGAAACACAATACCCAATAGGCGCTGCACTCATTAAATCATCGTTTTTTGTCGACGACTTCTTAGGTGGAGCAGATTCCATTGATCAACTCACCAATATCAGACATCAGTTAACGGCCATTCTACAGAAGGGTTGCTTCGATCTTGACAAATGGCATTCAAACCATCATGACTTCATCAGCGATACTACAACAAAGAGTTTGAATCTTGATACAGATACAGTCACCAGCGCTCTAGGCATCAAGTGGCACCAAATGCAAGATGTTTTCCTATTTTCGTTTAATGCACAACCAGGTCATATTGTAACAAAACGCACCATCTTATCCCTTGCGTCTTCATTATTCGACCCGCTTGGATTACTAGCACCGATCATACTCGTAGCCAAAATTATGATGCAAGAATTGTGGCTTTTGCGTGTGGATTGGGACGAGTCAGTCCCTCAAAATCTTCACTCAGCTTGGAAAACATTTATTCAAGATCTTACAACGCTTTCATCGGTTAAGGTGCCGAGGTACTGCCTATCCATAAACTATCAACAGGTTGATGTACACGGTTTCTGTGACGCTTCAATACGCGCATATGGTTGCTGTATATTTCTCCGATCACAAAACACATCAGGTAAGGTGACGGTCAGGCTATTCACTGCAAAATCCCGTGTGGCACCTATAAAGCGGAAGTCG